AAAAAAAGAGAGAAAGAAAGAAGAGAGAAAAAAAGAGAGAAAAGAAAGGAAAATGTAGAATACAGAGTATAAAATGGGATATTGAAGAAAGGAAAGGATAAGGAGAATTGATTGAAGCAACAGAGGAAGTTATGCACAAAAACAAGGAGAAGCGTACGGGAAGATTAATGAGATAATAATTGACATTTCCCCTTTTTAAACAAGGTTCTGGATCCATTGTCAGAGCCTGGGAGAGGAAGCCATTCACCACTCACCATGGCTGAGACGACACGGGAAACCATGATCGGATCTGCCCGGCTCGCATGAGGCATCCCCCGCTTATCCAGCATGTACAAACAAGCATCCAGGATTCCTTGGTCAAACTGAGGGGAGACAAGAAGAAAGGTCATCGGAGCAGGGGACCATGTCTTCCCAGGTCCTCTGGTTTGTTTTGGGACAAAAGAATAAACCTCTGGGTGATGACTGCACCGTTGGGGTGGCCATTTTGACTTCTTTGACCACATTTGGGAGATTTCCCTGCCCTAATGAGAAATGTAGCCATATTTGCATCATTTTCCTTTCCTTTCCTTTCCTTTCCTTTCCTTTCCTTTCCTTTCCTTTCCTTTCCTCCTTTCCTTTCCTTTCCTTTCCTTTCTTCTTTCCTTTCCTTTCTCCTTTCCTTTCCTCCTTTCTATTTTTCTTTCCTCTTTTCCTTTCCTCTTTCCTCTTTTTCCTTCCTTCCCTTTCCTCTTTTCCATTTTCCTAACCTTCCCATCTCTTACCTGCGCGTAGTTCCATGTTCGCTCCCCGATCTGACTTTCCGTCCCATAATAAATCCTCCCTGTTTCGTTCAGCACATACTCGTTTAGGCAGTCACTTTGTGGCATGTGGACCGAATCCTCTGAGGAGGAGAAAAACCAGGAAAATTCAAGTAAATGTGGAAAAAATTCCAATTCTGTTCTCCTCTTAAAATATATATATATATTTTAAAGGGAGGAAGGAACCAACTCGGCCACGAAACACACCTGGGCAATCGCATCTCCCTTTTAAAACATCCTTTAGTTGGGGAAATAAAAATAAAAATGGGCTTCTGCTGATTTTCTAAATAAATAAAGATGATCTTGAAACAAATAAAAATGTATTTAGTTTTTACTTTTGTCCCTTGTGTGTGCCGCTCTGGGATCTCTTTGAAAAAAATTAGCCTCATAAAAAGGATAACAACAAAATACTTTTAAAAATACGAATAGTTCTCGATTTACGAGGGTTCGTTTAGTGACCGTTCAAAGTTATGATGGCACTGAAAAAGAGTGACCTGCAGCCGTTTTTCACACATACGACCGTTACAGCATCCCCTTGGCCATGTGATCAAAATTCAGACGCTTGGCAACTGACTCGTATTTATGACGGTCGCCATGTCCCCTGTTCAGGTGATACCCTTTTGTGATCTTCTGACAAGCAACGTCGAGGGGGAAGCCAGATTCACTTAACGATGGTGTGACTCACTTAACAACTGCTGGGATTCCCTTAACAACTGTGTCAAGAAAGGTTGTAAAACGGGGCAGAACACACTTAACGATGTCAATTTTGGGCTCGGCTGTGGTGAAAAGTTGAGGGCCATCTCTATTTCCTCTCTTTGGGGGGAAAAAAAAAAACATTTCAGAGATGGATGGTCAAGTGTACCGAAGTCATTTCCTGAGGTTTGATCAAAATAAAAACGGGATCAAAGGATTTTATCTTTCTTTTTTCCTTTCTGCTGGGAGAACAATACCTATTTAGAGTGTGTGTTTGTGTGAGTCCCAGTTTTCCTTTTTTGTTTTTAGTGTTCCCTTCTGTGTGCCAAGCTAAAGATTTATTTACTTTGGTCTTTCTTTCGAGAAATAGCAGGGAGAAATTTATTCCTTTCCCCACCCTGGTTTTTCTGCTTCTCCTCAGCCTTCCCTGCAGTTCAGGAAGGAAACAGGGGTGGGGAAGGCATGATACCATTCCTAAATTTTTGCATGTGGAACAGCCACACCGTACCTGCCCGTTTCCTTCCAGAAGGTTCCAAAGTCAGACATATCTTATTTACAAAAGACAGGGATGGGGAAATTCCCATTTTCCCCCTCTTAAATCCTTGACCTCAAACTGAACTCCGATCTCTTCAGAAATACCTTCAAATGCAGAAATAAACCCACTTAACGGGGCGTCCTCGACTTACGATGACAACCGAGCCCTAAATTTCTGTTCCTCGGCGAAGGGACCTTTTGCTCGTTTTACGACTTTGCTTGTCACAGCTATGAGGTGAATCACTTGCTGTTGTGAAGTGAGCCACATGGTTGTTAAGCGAACCCAGCTTCCCCGCTGGTTCTGCTCGTCAGATGGTTGCAAAAAGCGCATCTCCGGGGACACGGCGACCGTCGTAAATATGAATCACTTGCCAAGTGCATGAATTTTTGATCCCATGTCCACAGGGATGGCTGTGACGGTCGTAAGAGTGAAAAAAAAGCTCCTAAGCCCCTTTTTTGGGGTGCTGTTGTAACTTCGAACAGCTGCTAAACGAACAGCCATAAGTCAAGGACGATTGATAAAGTGAAACTTACAAACCAGTCCTTAAAATAGGACCGATATGTTTGGGGCCGACTTACGATGACAATCGAGGCCCAAATTTCAGTTCCTAAGCGAGATGTTTGTGTGCCCGTTTTACGACCTTGCTGCTTGCTACAGCTGTGAAGTGAATCACACTGCCAATGGGGAAGTTAGTAACATGGTCGTTAAGGGAATCCGTGCCGTTGTAACTTCAAATGGTCACTAAACAAACAGTCGTAAGTCAAGGACAGCTGATAAAGCGAAACTTAAATCCATTCCGTAAAATAGGATGGGATCTGTTTGGGTGTGGGGGTCATCCATTTTGGAAATACAAAGCACTCGGTTTCGATAACCTGGGTTTAATATGTTGTGGGAATGCAGCTGGTTTGTCAGAAGCCAAAAAATTATCTAGTTTTGATAAAAACCGGTTTGGGGTGTGGCAAGAGAGAGAGAGGAGAACCATATAAGAAAGGAAAAATAATGATTTTTTTTTGTTTTGTTTTGTTTCTTCCTCTCTTCTCTTCTTCCTTCTAGGCCACACAGTCCATCGTTCCCACACCCTGCTGACTCGGGCAGAAAAATTAAAATTAAATTTCGCACTCAGGTCAAGAGGGCGTGTTGTGGCGAGGAGATTTAGATTGGATTGTGCGTTGAGCCTCTTTCATGAGAACCGTGGGAAATAAAAACCCACGGGTGGCAACCTCTCAGAGATCACCTCTTTTCAGGCAAAGGTTGGTAGCCATTTTGTCACAGATTTTTAGACGTAAAAACCCAGCCATCAACAGGGCAAAAGGCAGTTGGTCCTCGTCCTTATGACCACGACTGAGATTGGGGTGTGTGTTGTTAAGCGAGGAGGCGGTTGCGCTGTACCCAGTTGGACTTTTTATTTTTGGCCATGGTGGGTAAGCAAATTGCTGGAGTCATTAAGGGAAGCATGCAGTCATTAAGTGAACCCCAGCTACCCCATTGACTTCTCCTTGTTTGCTGGAAGCTGGCTGGGAAGGTTGCAAAACGGGGATCGCACGACGCCGGGAGGCGGCAACCGTTGTAAATAGAGGCCTGGTGCCAAGTTTCTGGAGTTTGATCGTGTAACTGTGGGGATCTTGCAACGGTCGTAAGACCGTTGAAACTTTGGTCGTGAAATGAAGGACTGTAAGTCAAGGACTGTGTTACACTATATTTATGTATTGTATGTAAAACCCCTTAAGTCAATTTAAATGTGTCTGTTGTGATTGTTGTTACTCACAGAAAGACCAATTTTGACCAATCTGGAGTAATTCACCCAGCTTAGGGAAGCGTTGCTTGCTATAAATCATTATTAAGAAAAAGAGCAAAGATATGAATGAATAACTCCTTCCTTTTTTCCATTCACCCATCCTTCCATTCATCTCTCCATCTCTTCTTCCGTCCTTCCATTCATCCATCCATCTCTCTTCCTTCCTCCCTCCATCCCCTTTCATCCATCCATCCTTTCTTCTTTCCTTCCTTCCATCCATCCATCTCTCCATCTCTCCTTCCTCCCTCCCTTCTGTTCCATTCATCCATCTATTCATTCATCCATCCATCGTTCTTTCCTTCCTGCCATTCATCTATCTCCTTCCTTCTTTCCATTCATCCCTCCTTCCATTCATCCTTCCTTCCGCCCTTCCTCCCTTTCATTCATTCATTTATTCATCCATCTCTCCTTCCTTCCTTCCTTCCTTCCTTCCTTCCTTCCTTCCTTCCTTCCCTGCCTGCCTGCCTGCCTGCCTGCCTGCCTGCCTGCCTTCTATCCATCTATCCATTCCTCCCTCTCTCCATCCTTCCAAAGTGATTGTCCTCTCTAAAAAAAAAATAGAGGGCCACTCTTTAACTGATGACATATAAACAGATCGATAATCTGATATAATCATTAATAAGGGAATTCTGGGAGCTGAGCTCCCATCTTAGTTGCGATACGTCCATTTCCTCACAGCCAGGCTGGCAATTCTGGACTCATCATTCCCTCTCTCGCCCACATATTTCTCCCCAGAACTTACCTGCGCACCAGGGGTTGAAGAGAATGTACACCTCGTTGTTGGGTTCGAAGGGCGCAGCGTACTCGCCCGCTTTGCTTCGGGTCTTCACGCTGAACTGGTACTTGCCAATCACTGCTCTGGGCGAGGGGCAGATTCGGATAGACATGGTGTTGTCGTCCGAGCTGGTCATTTCCGCTGACCAGCCCATGCCGGGCAAGGAACCCCCGACGGGGACCAGAATGTGAGTGCCCTTTGAGGCTTGTGGGTTGGGGCCTGCCAGTGGGAGAAAATGTGGGAGGGAAAATTAATTGTTGTGATTTGACAATTAATAGAATTAATGACAGGGAGGTACCGATAGTCATAGATGCCCAGTGTGCGATGTCAAACGACCGGAGCAGCATTTGAATAACATCGGAATTGACAAATTCACTACTGGTCAATTGTGAAAGGCAGCTCAACTTGGAATGGCTTAAATCGTACCCCAAAAATCTTGTTTTTATACTATTTAACATCCACATCTGCCTTTTGTTCAGGTCCTTGGGAAGGACTGAAGAGGTGGACCAAATTGCCAGATCTGGTCTCAACATCTGGCCGACTCTGCAACCAATCCTAACCATGCCATATATGTATATTTAAAGTTGTACTTTTTACATCTAGAGATTACACAAATTTATTACATTTATTCTACTATTTAAAGGGTAGAACTGAAGCATTCGTTTTGCTAATAATTTGGGTGGAGGGGTGGCCGCCCTCTTGACTCCTTTGATCATACCCTGTGGACACCCCAGCCGTGAACTCTTGGTTGAACTACAAGCCCCATGTTCCCTTCCAATAGTGTCCTTGTGGTCCCACAGAGAATGCCAAATTAGGAAAGGGATTTGGCACCTATGATACTATAAAATTTAATATAAGTAATCCTTGACTTATAACTACAGTTGAGGTGATTATTTCTGTTCTTGAAACAGAAATAATAACAACCCGGTTGTTAAGCGAATCTGGCTTCCCTATTGACTTTCAGAAGGTCGCAAAAGGGGATCGCGTGACCACGGGATCATCGTAAATATGAGTCAGTCCCTAAGTGGTTGAATGTTGATCACGTGACTGCGGGGAATGCTGCGACGGTCGTTAGTGAAAATGATCCTCTTTTTTTTCCAGTGCCTTCGTAACTTTGAACAGTCACTAAACAACCTACCAAGTTAAACTAAATTAATCCTTGAAATACGATGGACCTGTTCGGGCGTCAGCCATTTTGGAAATGCCAGCACCCTGTTTGGATAACCCGGGCTTCATGTATTGTGTGAAAACAACAGCCGGTTTGTCTTGAAGCCAACTCTCACACCCAAACAGCAAGAAACCCACCTTCGTTTGCTGAGGTGGGTCGCCTGTGTACAGCCTCAAAAGTAGACATTTTATGAAGTGGAGCTTGGAGGATTGACTTTGGCCTTAAGCCTCAGTTTTGCTATTGAGGGTTAGATAAGGAGTCCGAGAACACCCTGTGCCTGGATGGTGGGAACAGGGCCGGCCAAAACTTCATGTTCGAAGAGATAATGTGAATTCTCCAGATTCCGCCGCTTGCTTCCTCTCCCTTGAATAAAATCTAGATCCAAGCCCAGCCCAGCTCATTTCCTCTGCCTTTAACTGCAGCTCGATCAGCAGGACACACCGTGGTTTAGTGGCCCGGGCAGCAATTTGTGGTTTGCAACCACAAGCAGAACTTATATTCTTTATTTTGGGGGAGGTAACAGTCTCTAGCGAAGGCCTTGCTTTCTGGCTCACGGCGGGTCAAGTCGAGACAGTGCTCGACGTATGACCACAGTCGAATCCAACCTTTCTGTGGCTGGGATGGTTGCGGAGGGAGTATTGCTCATTTTTATGCCATGGTTATTAAGTGAATTGCTGCATTTGTTAAAGTGAGTTCACATGAATGAATCTGGCTTCCCAATTGATTTTGCTTGTCAGAAGAGTGTCTCCTGCTTAGGTGGGGGGTTGGACTAGATGACCTACAAGGTCCCTTCCAACTCTGATTATCTGTAAGAGGATCATTCGACCCTGGGAAACTGCAACTGTCATAAGTACATGCCATTGCAAAGCATCTGAACTTTGATCACCTCACCACGGGGAGGCTGCAGAAGTGTGAAGTACGGTCCTAAGTCACTTTTTTTCTGGGTGCTGTTGTAACTTTGAATGGTCATTAAACGAATGGTTGTAAGTCAAGCACTATCTATAAAGATTGCAATAGGAGGAAGAAAAAATAAGTAAATGAAAGGATTTTCTTGACTTTAGGACAGTGTCTTCCAACCTTGGTAACTTTAAGATGGGTGGGCTTCAACTCCCAGAATTCTAATGCTGGCCCTTTAAGACAGGTGGATTTCAGCTTCCAGAATTCCAATGCTGGCCCTTTAAGACCAGTGGATTTCAGCTCCCAGAATTCCAATGCTGGCCCTTTAAGACAGGTGGACTTCAACTCCCAGAATTCCCATGCTGGCCCTTTAAGAAGGGTGGATTTCAGCTCCCAGAATTCCAATGCTGGCCCTTTAAGACCGGTGGACTTCAACTCCCAGAATTCCAATGCTGGCCCTTTAAGACCGGTGGACTTCAATTCCCAGAATTCCAATGCTGGCCCTTTAAGACTGGTGGACTTCAACTCCCAGAATTCTCATGCTGGCTCTTTAAGAAGGGTGGACTTCAATTCCCAGAATCCCCCAGCCGACAGAAATCTACCTCTTAAAAGTTGAGAAACACTGCTGAGAAGGAGATTACCAGGCTTAGAAGAAAAATGAAACGCACATTTTTATTTCCAGCCTCTAATATTCTGTTCCTTCCCTATTATTTGGAGTTGCAGGTTAGGGCAAGCAGGAAAAAAAACCTGTTCTCCAGGTGTGGCTTTTTTCTCGAGCAGCCAGGATCAAGGTTGGAGGCTGGGTTTTCTAGCTGGATATTCAGCTGTGGATGGAAGGATTGTCCCCACAAATTTGAGAGGCATTGGACTACGTTTCCCATGGTTGGATAAGCGTGGCTGTGCTGTCTCAGGATCATGGACCTGGGAACCAGCACACCTGGAAGTGCATCACTTAAAGAAGAGTAAACCATTTTGTAGACCAGGACTGTATAAATTTGGCAACTTTAAGACCTGGGGACTTCAACTCCCAGAATTCCCCAGCCAGCTCTCTCTCTCTCTCTCTCTCTCAACATTGCTGAAGTCAAGATATATGTTTACCGCATTCCCACCGTCTATTAAGAAAAGTTACCCTGTTAAAAAACACGTGATAAAGCAGTCTAGCTGCATTTATTCTCGCCCCACTCATACCAACTGCCGGAAAAATCTTTTGCCTGGCTGCGGAATTCAAATCCACAAAGTCTGAAAAGCTGCCAAGCCTGCTGCAGGCAGAAATGCCACCGGTGCAGTTTCATTCGGAAGAAAGTGGAGACGTAATGTCCCACTTAAGTCAACCCGGCACCGTTTGGGGAAAGTTGAAAGCGGAGAAAGGGGAGGGAGAGAGAGAGAGAGAGAGAAGCAACACGTTATGCTTTCATTTTGGAACTCGGCATGTCATAAAAGTTTGAAATGCAACGAAGAAGTCCGTGAAAAGGCTGGTGTCTCTGAATTTTTATGTCTGCCATGGAATCTACAGGAAATCCTCGACTTGCAACAGTTTGTTTAGTGACCAAAGTTACAATGGCACTGAAGCAGGATTCACCTAACAACTATATGACAGACTTAACTGGAGGGATTCACTTAACAATTGTGGGAAGAAAAGTCGTAAAATGAAGCTAAGGTCACTTCAGAACTGTCTCACTTACATAAGAGGAAAATTTTGGGCCTAAGTCGAGGCTCGTTCCCTCCTTTTCGGATATAATGAAATAATAATGAAAAGGGGCTTGAAAAACCCTTTTTGGATATTCTAAATTTTGATGTCTCTCCGACACTGAATATACAGCCGCACCTCCGATTGATATGCAAAGGGAAGCAGTGTTATGACAATGGCATCTCTTCATTTCTTTCACGGCATGAAATATTTTCCCCCCCATAAATCTATTTCATAAACTAATCATCCAGCAAACATGATGTTGGAATGAAGAAGTAATTAGTTTTCGAATACACCAACAGGTTCCTTCCTCCCTTTAGATGTAATGAATGCAACACTTCCTATAATTTGAATTTTACATACTTTCCTCCATGGCGAAGAAGACCTTGACCTAGTTCTCTAGAAAGTTGGAGAAGTTCTCTAGAAGTTTGAAGGAGGACCCCAGGTTCTTCTTTGCAAGGAATAGCTTCCACTGTGTCGTCTTGTTCAGTCGATCTACTTCATTTGAGTTCCATCTTGAACGTGAGGAGAAATTTCTTCTGCAGATATCTCTTCTACGAAGGATAAGTTATATTTCCTTCAGGGGTGGCTATTGGTTGAAGTCCTAACTGTGAAAAACATTCCCAAACAACAAGGACGCTCCTATCTTGGTGCTTGATAGTCTACTTAAAAGTTCTTATGATGGCTGGTTTTCACAAGACGTAAAAACATCCAGGTAGCCTTCAAAATTATTATTTTTTAATTGTCTCTTCATGGAGAAGTTCTCTAGAAGTTTGGAGGATGATCCCAGATCCTTCTTTGTCACTATTTCCACTATTTCCGCTTCCGCTATTTCTTCTTGTAACTTGGAGAGGTCAACCACGGGTGGGAAATTAGCCACGCTTGTCATGTCCATATCAACATCAAAGCTCCAAGTTTTGTAAGGTTTGCGGATTGGTTGGCATGACCATTTTTATGGAGGTCTTCAGAATCTCCTTGTTGTGTGGTTTGGCACTCATTTTAGAATCCATCGGTGGATTTCAACAACCTAACCAAGATATCCCTTCAGAAAATTTCAAGAAGACACTGGACTGCTATCTGTCAGAAACGGTGTATTGTCTCCTGTTTGGGTATGGGGGCGGGGGGTTAGACTAGATGACCTACAAGGTCCTTTCCAACTCTGTTTTTAAAAAAAATCTGAAAAAGGGTAAATTCTGATATATATTTTTATTAAAAAAAGCTGTTTGCCCAATCTTATATCGTACAATGACTTGGGATCGCTTGATGAAGCCGAGTGGCAGAAATGGAAGACGAACCAAAAATTTACACCACCTGCATTCGGTAACAGGTGGAACTCCCTGCCACAAGATGAGGCGACGTTGCTAAGCTTAAGTCGATTTGCAGAAAGAAGCAGGTGAACCAAGAGATGGAAAGACACCAGTTGCTGTTTATCTAATCCTGTGTTTCTCAACCTTAAGAGCGGTTGAG